GCGGGCCCCGAATCGGCGCCCATCTGGGCCTCTGGGCGGGGGCCAGCATTGTCAACAATGGTCTTCGCAATTTTGGTCTTTCCGAGGGACTTGCCCCCAATGACAAGGTACAAACCAGACCTTGCCATAGCCTGACCAAGTTGCGTGACATCTTGAACTGTATCACAATTTAGTTAAGCTGAAGTCAAAGAAAGTGACAAGGGTTCAGGGATGTCAACACCAAACAACCACCACAACCTACGGAGTGGGAGGTGTTCAGAGAGGTATCCTATGGTGTGGAGAACCCTAGCACGGGATGGAACACGACGGGGAGTCCCAGAGGGATTGGTCCCCGTTGTGTTGGAGAGGTGTGTGGTGTGGCCGAAAGGGGGGCTCGGTACGGCAACCCGAAAGGAACACACAACACGAATGCGAATGCGCGAAATGCAACGAGCGAGTGCGGATGCAGGCGACCGACGAGCGAGCGACGTGCACCCTGAAACGCGCAGCGGACGCACGTTTCTTGAGCCAAATGTGTCGGTACGACACGGAGTCTTGTCCTGTACATGTTGTCCATAAGGCATGACAAGTTAGGGGTTACATCTGTGTGTAAAACTTTGACTCCCCCCTCGCCGTTTTGGCGTGCCCCAGGACATTATGTACATGCATTAATTACCGCGCAGGATGCAGCGGCTTTGTCCTCTACCCTAGACCCTAACGAAAAGCTTCGGTCCCTGGAGGACGGCTGTGGCTCGCGGATATCGGTTCGAATGCCCAAATGGCATAAGGCCTTATACCACTTTTGTGGTGGTAGAGCCTTTGTGAAGATGTCCGCGGCTTGCTCGTTGGTGTCTATGTATTGGACTGTGATACATGGGTCATCGAGGCACTCTTTTAAGGAGGATAGGTCCTGTGATTCCGAAAAAAACACTGAACACCAAAACGCACACAAGGTCTTTAGCAACCTGAGAAGAACAAGAGGAGATATTCAACTCTCAAGGCATTTGATGTTGGGGTGGGAGATCGTTCGAACTTGTTTGGCAAAAACGCTTGATGAGGGAACAACCGGAATGAAAAAGAATACCATGGCTTCTTGTGTTCTGAATGGAACAAATCTATTCCCTACTTCTTTTGAACGCAAGCTGAAGTTGGCATGAATGGCAGGACATGGAAGGCCTATGGCATTCTTCCCAAGCATGGCCGAAAAATAATACAGTACTGGTTCTGAACAAACTGCCTTTAACACAAAGCAAGTGGGAGAAGTAATGAAACACCACCCTACCTTTATTGACATGGCAGTCCTTCTGGAGTTGCCTGACCCAGACTGCTGAATTCGCTGTGCTTCTGCCACCTTGAACGGGTGAGGTCTAAGGTGGAACATACTACTGCGCACCTTCAATAGTCTCAATCCCCCCCTACAATTACAAACTCAGACGGTACTTCAAGAATACAAATCTCAACAGGTGGGCAAACCAAAACAATGTGAATGCTTCAGTCGTCTGCCTTGTCCCTGTTGTGGTGCTTCTGGTCTTCGACCTGTCTTCAAATACTCCTTGATGTCCACCGGTTTCCACCCGCCAACTTCATCAGGCACTTGGGTCATGTTCAGAACCCTCTCCGCATTTTCAGCCTTCAAGTACTCCTTCAAGTACTCCTCTGCCTCTCCTATTGACCATCTGTAAGAAGGTGCCTTTCGCTGCTCTAGGAGACGGGTGCGTGCTCCGTTGAGATTGGCTACCTTGTTAGCAGCTTCCTCACTTTGTGTGACAGCAATCAGGTGGTGGTCACATTCATGAGCAGCTCTGGTGAGAGCCAAGAGGTCTGTCTCTTGTCCCCTCAGTCCGGTATCAAAGGTGTTGTCAAAGACCATCTGTAAACGAATGCCGTGCTGTTTCAGGATACGAAACAGCTTCCCAGCCACATCCACAGCATCTGCAACATCTTCAACGCGGAAGAAGCCCTTGAGGTTCTTCTGGAAATTTCGCTGTAGGAACACCGTAACTGCAGACTTCTGTGTGCAATTCCGAAGTGCCAGTGCTGCGGCGACAGACTTGCCGACCCCCGGCTCGGCATGCGCAGCAGAGAGACCACCTGTTCGGTTGTCGTTCAACACTGTTATCATCAACCGCTGGAAGCCAGTACCTTCGACTGGCTGTTCAGGTAGTTCTACTACTTGCGGGATGATGGTTTGCTGTGACCGCATCACGTTCAGCAATCTCTCGGCATGATCTTTGACTTTTGTGGCTGGCGACAGCCTTGCCAGCAGTGGGACTTCGGCAAATTGTGTCTCAAACCATGCCATCCGCTCACCCACGAAATCAAAAATGCTTATTGCAGATGACGCAGCACCCAACGCTGCGGCTGCGGCTGGGTCAACCGCATGGACCCCCACGCTCGTTGGCTGTGCTTTCTCGCTGTCACTTTTGGCGGTCCAAGAGCCAACAAAACCGCAGAGCTCTAGGCTCACATGGGTCAAGAACGCCAGAAGCACCATCCTCCGACATCTGCGCGCCATGATGCTCGATGGACAAGGTGTTTTGCTAGTTTGAGGTCATCTTGCGTCTTTCAGAAGTTCACCGTTCCCACTATGCTGCTGTAGCACTAAATGTGAAGAACCCCCCTTTCATGAGCCTTTGCAGCGGGGTTGACTTGCAAGGTGGTTCAGTTCACATACTTCGAAGGTAGCACAAGAAACATGCAAAGAGGAATGAAAGAAAAACTTTCGTCAAACTTGTTCCCTACACATGAAGGCCTTACTAGTAGTAACAAGTGCCACGCTAGTAGTAACAGGCGCCACGCTAGTAGTAACAGTGTTCCTTTTTTTTTCCATTTTTTCAACCGTTACTACTAGCGTGGCACCTGTTACTACTAGCGTGGCACTTGTTTCTAATAGCAAACATTGTTACTACTAGTGAGGCACCTGTTACTAGTAGTAAGGCACCTGTTACTACTAGCGTGGCACCTGTTAAGCAACACACGAAAGGAACTAGGGATGACAAGGCTGCTTGTTCAACACTTGCTGTACCACTCAAAAGGTGAGATGTTGAGGTGGGAACAGTCAATTGGACATGGCACAGGCACGGCAAAACATCATACAAAGTCTTTAGTCTAAATCCTATCAAATTGAGGACGATGTTTGGAATACATCTTTTAACAAATCTTGAGGAATGAACAACCCTGCGATCTTCTCCCCAAAAAGTGCTGAGCCGTGTCAAGAACATGAAATTACAGGGTATAATTTTCAATAGCGGGCTTACACATGATCACATGCTTGACTTGGGGCATGGCTTGAAAGGAACAAGGGCATGGCAGAAAACCGCACAAACGTCTTTAGTCTAAATCCTCTCTACCAATTTAAGGCAAATGTTGGGAAGATATCATCCACAAATCTTGAGGAATGAACAACCCTGTTATCTTCTCCCTAAAAGACTGAACCGCAGCAAGAACATACAATGTCAAGGTAATGTCTTGCGTAGCGGGCTTTCCCACAACCAGCATCGTGTGAACACCCTCAACCTATATTGTTGTGAACAAAAGCTCAATCAAACCAATTCCATCCTTCTTTTTCACTTGGAGGAATTTTGAACTTGAGGTGGGGAGCGTTCAGAATCCATTGTCCTAAACCGAAAGGAGCGTTCACCAAAGGCATTCTAAAGATGAGTCCCAAACAGCTTTGGTCTGAGTTGGAGAGGTGGCACCTTGCAGGGCACGAAGATGACAAGTTGGGTCTTTGCGAGGTCTTACTTTGGTCAGCTATTGTGTATAATCAGGAGCGTTTGCGACAAAGCGGAAAAAACGAAAACTTTACATTAAAAACAAAAAACATCCCTGCTCGTCTGCAAGTAGAATGCTTTCTCACATTCTTCATGCGATGTTCTTCCAAGCCAGCCCTTTCCCTTCAGTCCCCGCCTGCAACAGTTGGGATTAAGACTGGTTTGATGCCTGATAGCAGAAATTGCTTGATATCCACTGGCTTCCATCCACCGTCAGGCATCCTTGCCCCTTCCAAATTCTCCTGCACCCAAGCCTCATCCTGCTTGAACTCTTTGAGGGATTCATTTAAGGCTCTCTGGACTGTGTCCTCCGACTCCTTGGTGGTTCTCGTGAATGCATGTAACATCTTGCGCCACCACCTTGTTTTGCGGGACTTTCTCCTGTCGTTCAGCTTTGCAGTTGCATTCAAATGCAGGAGGAGTCTGGATGCCTGCATCTTATTCCACCTGTACTCGCTGACATTGCACTTCTGGTGTGGCGATACACGTGTTCGTGCCCCATTGAGCAAACCAACTTCCTCAGCGACTTCACGCGACTGCGTGACGACTACTACTTGTCCATGTTCGAAGGCGGCGCGGGCAAGGCTCATCAACATCTCCCCACGCTCACCGAGTTCCTTGTCAAAGATGTTGTCAAGAACAACTTGCAAGCGAACTCCCGCATCGGACAAGATTGGAAAAAGGTTTTCTGCAACAGCTGTCACATAGGCTTCCTTGCTAACTGTGAAAACGAAGATGAAACCAGGAACATGTCATGCACTGACCCGGATTGCTCATGGACCTGACCAGCTTGAAGAGACTGCGCCCGACTTTCGCTCTCGCGATGGCTCAAGAAAAGAGCGCTATGATGTTTGCTGCCAGTGCTGGATTCATTTCCACACTGGTAGCGGAGCTACCAAGGCTCCCAGGGACCCCGGTCCCGACCCTTTTCGTCGCGGCCCTTGCGGCCACGGTTTGCGCGCTGTGCTCACCCATGGCGCTTCTTGACACCTTCAGGTATGTCAACTTCATCAAGGAGGAGGAGACGCAGAACAGCACCGAGGGCAAGAATGCTGGTGGCATCCCACGCTTCAATGGAGAAGCGACCAGGTTAGGTGAATACACCTGGCGGGTTCGTGCCCGCATGGCACGAGAGGCTGAGATGGATCCCGGCGAGGTGAAGAAACAAGGACCACTAGGTCTCCGCCTAGTGGAGCAGCTCTCAGGCCCCGCGCTACGTGTCGCCCAGCAAATGCCGCACTCTGTTCTCGCCAGCAAGGAGGGCGCGGAAAAGCTGCTCGATGCCCTGGCTACTTCATTGAAGCCAAGGAGGGCACAAGAGGCACGCGAGCTCTACGCGGCCGGCGCCCGTGAGGGCGGCATCCTTAGCCGCCAGGCTACCGAGCCTATGTCGACCTACTTGGTCCGTCGACAGGCCTGGTACCAGGTTTTGACTGACCTGGACAAGGAGCTGACGTTGCCGGAAGTGATCTTGGCTGAACAAGTTCTGGTCAATGCAGGCCTGACTGACCAACAGGTCCTGCTGATCAGATCAGCTTTGGGTGGAAAGATCACCATGGCCGGCATCCAGTCCGAGCTCATCGCCCAGCACTCTCGATTGCACGAACGAGAACATCGAGGGCGCAGCATTGGCTTTGAGCGGCCCAAGGGCTCAGGTTGGCGTCATCGAGGAAAAGGAGGTGGACATGGAATGGGCTACTTCTCTGAAGAGTACCCAGCCGAGGAGTATGAGCGCGACCCGCATGACGACCTCAACGCCTACCAGTCCGAGCAACCGCACTACGCCTATGAGGAGAACTACGACTGGCAGGATAACGACCTCGGCGAGGAGATGGATGAAGGGACACTTTTGTCCATGTTGGCCGATCAAGGACTTGATCTGAACGATGAGGAAGCCATGGAATATGCGGCCGACATCATCCAGGCTGAACAGGAAGCCTACTTTGCACGTGAACGTGCCAAGGAGAAGGGCATCAAGGGCTTCCACAACAAAGGAAAAGGAAAATCCTCTGGTTCTAGCGGCCGAGCATTTGATGTCTCAGGACAGCTGACGCTCCAGGAACGGCAGCAGAAGATTCAGAACCTGAAGTCCCGCACCACTTGTCGACGATGCGGACAGGTGGGACATTGGAGTGGAGATGCTAGCTGCCCGAAAAGTAAAGGAAAAGGCAAATCGCCAAAAGGATCTGGAAAGGGCAAAGGATCTGGAGATGCGAAGCCTCGCACTGTGTTCTTCGCCGTTCGGGAGAATGAGACCGCCGAGGAGCATACCGCTCTCATGGCCTACCGCAGACCCTTCAACATCTTTGGAGCGGTACCGCCTCCCACGGAGTTGCAGCAGGGCGAGATCGTGAGTTCACCTGAGGAGGAAGACAAATGGTCTTTGGTCGCATCATCCCACGTGCGAGAAGGACAATCAGTGTCACAGGAGGACCTTGACATGATGATGCTGGTTTCTGCCTTGGGAGTATCTGAATATCGAGAAGACCGAGGAGAAGTTCTGTCCATTGAAGGCCCAACTTCCTCGACTACCCCATCGGAACCACCTGCTGAAGTTCAAGCACGTGCAGCACGACCACAAGAACCCGATCCTCGACCACATCGAGAACCAGTTCAGTGGACCAGCCATGAGACCTCACCATCACAGGTCTCGCCAGCATCGGCACAGACTAAGCCGACGAACAAGAAGCCAGCATGCCTTCACTATAACGTGACCGGACAGGGATCCAACGCCTTCTACAAGATCAAGAAGTGTAAAGATTGTGGCACTATTTTGGAGCGCACCCCTGTGGGATCAGCTGATTCTCGGTCTATGACCTCGGAGACATCCCAGGCTCCAGGATGCAACCATCATCGAGTGAGTTGGCATGGCACAAATGGCTTTCGCTGGAAGCGCACATGTCTTCAATGTGGAGAAGTCCGCAGCGGCCCTGTGAATGGAGGAAAGAGTTCCGGCAAGGGATCGTCACCGTCAACGGCCTCCAATGAGACCTCTTCGACGACCCGGCTGACAACCTCAAGCCGGAAGATGACTTCCGAGGAGATTCTTCGTGTTCGTGGACTCTTCAACCACTCCCTGGACCTCAAGTCAGAAGGACAAGGAGAAGGATTCACTCTCACCGATCACGAATTGGCTGACCTTCTCCGGATGTGTGAGAACATCGTCCTCGGCCGACCAGCACATGAAGGTCAGGACTACACTCCTACGGAACCGGCAGGCTCAGGAACTCAGACTCCGTCATTGCCTACCAGGACACCGACATCACAGGCCATTTGGACCGATCCGCCTACACCGGACCCATCCATTCCGCCAGCACATGCTCATTCACTACAACAAGAAGGCCGTCGCACCATCAGCTTTGGCCTCTACAAAGGACAAACCCAGTATGAAGCTTGGAATGACCAAGGGTATGTCCGCTGGCTTTTGGACGAAGTCAAAACCGGAAAACCTTCCAAGGCTATGATCCGTCTGGCCCAGTACTTCCAGGACATGCAGGCTGGAGGACGCGATCGTTATGGAGCTGCCATCCCAGAGACTGCTCACTATGGCTACATGGCACAACATCACCAAGAATGTGGCAGCGAAGACAACTTGGTGGCCATCCTGGACACTGGCTGCAATGCCACATGTCATGGAAGTGAATGGTTGAAACAATACCTCAAGGCCACTGGAGCACCTGAACCTCCACTACAGCCATGCTCTGGACCTGGCGTGAAGGGAATTGGCGGCCAGATGAAGCTGATCGGAAAACGTGAGTTCGAGGTGAGCTTCGAGATGAAGAACGGAGATTTTGCCCGAGGAACTTTGGTATCCTTGGAGATTGCCTCCTCCGATGCACCACTCTTGCTCAGCGTGGAGAGCCAGAAGCAGCTTGGCTTTGTGATCGACCTCAACCACCAAAATGTACACTCCACCGTACTTGGAAGTGATCTTTGTTGGGTGGCTCGCAATGGACTTCTGGCAATCCGGCTCATTCCCGGATATCTTGGCCTGGTGGCCGAGCACTTCGAGGACACCGAGAACCTTGAGAAGGAGCACAACATGACCTATGAGCAAGAGGAACCACCAGAGGAAGACATCCAACTGGTCAATGAGACCCACATGGCCGTGGATGAGATGCATCAGCACAAGCGCGTCTTCACCAAGGGCCAAAAGAAGCAGTTCAAGAAGGATGTGCAGGACGTGAAGGAGAGGGACCAGCACATGTGGGGATTGCTACGATCCTCACACAAAAGCGTAAGACCTCGTTTGATGCCTCGAGGCTGCCGTACGCTGCTACTGGAGATCTTTGCCGGAGCAGCCATCCTGTCTCACATGGCTTCCGAGATGGGATACCCTGTTTCACAGCCCGTCGACATTTTGTATGACGGCACCGACCTGCGGAAGAAGGAACACCGGGACATGATCGACCAGCAGATCGAGAAGGACGACCCGTACCTCATCTCCATGTCGCCGCTCTGTGGCCCCTGGTGCCAGTGGCAAGAGCTCAACATGAGCAAGTCTGAAGAGACTGCGTATAAGATCATGGAGCAGAGGAAAGAATGGTATCCGGTGGTAAAGTGGATCTCGCAGGTGATCCGAAGCCGAGTGGCAAAAGGGCGGCAAGTGTTGTTGGAGCAACCATGGCTGTCAAAGATGTGGGACTCGCTTGCTCTTCTTCGAGTTCTACAGGACCACATCACTGACCCTATGACGGGCGAGATCGTGGAGGTGATCAAATGTGACCAATGTGCTTACGGCCTCAAGGACCGAGATAATGATATGCCCAACAAAAAGCCTACTGGACTGATGACCGCCAGTTTGGGCATCAAGCAGAACATGTCACAACTATGCTCTGGAGATCACCAACACCAAGCTCTCGAGGGATCAAACCGCACAAAACGAGCCCAAGAATGGCCACGTCCCTTTTGTGAAGGAATTCTGCAAGGGATTCTTTGTGATCTTGAAGGTACTATCACCAAGGTGGCATTTCCAGCTGAAGCTGTCATCGAGGACAACCCCTTGGGCACCTTGGACAAGATCTACGATGAGCAGGACCTGGCACCAAATCCTCCGCTACCACACCGAGCTGAAGAAGATGATTTGAAAGGCGAAGAAGATCGTGAAGGAGAACCTGGAACTACAGAAGGAGACCGTGTGAGGAAGAAGCAGTGGCTTAGCCTACCTTATGCCCAACGAGTCGCTCTTCGACGACTACATCAAATGACTGGGCATTCCAGCATTGGTGCTATGGCTCGCATGCTCCGTGTCGCTCGAGCAGCTCCAGAAGTCATCAACAAGGTGAAGTACTTCAAATGCGAGACATGTCAACACCATAAGAAGCCACAGCCACGACCTGTTGTCCGACCACCGAGTCCATACACCTTCAACTTTGAGATCACCTCTGATGCTTTTGAGGTGAGAGATGGACTTGGCAACAGGTACACCGTTCTCTCCATCATCGACATGGGCACACTGTACCACAGCGCTTGGATCGTCTCCGACAAGGGCGGAACTCCCAGCAGTCAAAAGTGTGCAGAGATCTTCCGAGATCACTGGTTCACCCATTTTGGCCCTCCAAAGTACCTGACTGTCGATAGAGGAGTGGCCAACCGTGGACAAGTTGCTGCTCTCATGTCTGCACAGGGGGTCTACATCCGCTACGCTGGCACGGAGGCGCATCATCAAATCGGTCGAGCAGAACGTCAAGGTTCACTTCTGAAGGAGATCATCAAGAACACGGTGGCAGCACGACATATCGTCGGCATCTCAGGGATGCGAATGGCTGTGATGGAATCCACCTTCGTGAAGAACTGTCGCGTGAACCATGCCGGTTTCAGCCCAACTCAATGGGTCATGGGCAAGCTGCCAGATGACGTGACCAGTCTGACAGTTGAACAAGCACCCAACCGTCTTGGAGTTCATGAGGAAATGGTCACAGGAGAGACCGAGTTCGCACAACAACTGAACATCCGACAGGCTGCCAAGGAAGCTTTTGAGTATGCCGACAGCAGCCGCCGCATCAGGACTTCATTACTGCGGAGATCTACGCCACTTCGTGGACCCTATGTACCAGGAGATCTGGTATGCTTCTTTAGAGTTGGACGCTGGTATGGACCAGCACGGGTCATTGGACGAGAAGGCCGCAGCAACCTTTGGTTGATCCATGGTGGAGTCCCCATCACCATCAGTGAGGAATCATGTCGACCAGCTCTTCAAGGAGAAGTTGTGGCTAAACAACTCCTGGAACTTCGACCATCACGCAAGAGGAAGCGGCAGATCCTACAGGACCATGAAGATGAAGTCCCCTTCGCCGATGACCTGATGGCCAATCAGTCTGACGAGGAGAATCAGGACTCCTACCTGGATGTTGGACGTCCCGGAGGAGATCATGCTGGACATCAAGATCACCCAACTCCAGGAGCATCAGAACCAGGAGAAGAACCTGAACAAGGAATGTCTTCAGCACCCGCGGTGGCAACATCAACACCACCTGGAGATGAACATCCTGAACCACCACCTGGACTACCTGCAGACCCACTCACTCTGGAAGAGGTAGCTGCAGTTCCTGTACCAGCCGAAGGTCCAGAAGAACCTCCAGGACTAGTACCTGATGATGACCAAGAGGTCGAGTTCGATGAGTTTCAAGAGGCCATGAATGAACTTGGAGACCTACCACGACATTCATCCGTGGAGGAGCCAGACATCGAACCGGATTCCAAGCGAACAAGAGCAACAACTGAGGGCACACCAACCACCACGACTACGCCTACACCACTGCAGCGATCTATGTGGAGATCACTGGAAGGACTTGATGGACATCCTACATCCAGTTCATCTTCGAGACAACGGTCAAGGACACCGCCGAGAACCTTTTATGCTACGCAGAACCGCCGCCAGAAGATACAATCGACCTGCCTGCGAGGATTCTTGGCCCGGCGCACCAACTACAAGAAGAAGAGTGCCGGCAGCAAGGAGATCAACTACTCCAAGGCCTCACCAGAGATGCAGGCGAAGCTTGATCAAACCAGGCGCAAGGAGTGGACCAATTGGACCAACTTCGATGCTTGTGAGGTAATCCCACCTCAAGATGCTGATCGTTTCCGCAAGAAGCACCCTCGAGCACAAGTGGTACCCATGCGATGGGTAGATGTCAACAAGGCGGATGAAGGAGAAGAAGAACAACTGAAAAGCCGCCTGGTTGTACGTGGAGATCTTGAAAACCAGGCACACCAAGGAGGAGTTCGGACTGACTCTCCAACAGCATCTCACTTGATGCTGAGCATGGTTTTGTCCTTCGCCAGCTGCAATGGCCTACGCCTACACAGTGGAGACATCACTGCGGCGTTCCTACAAGGGTTTGGACTTTCCAGAATGCTCATCATGAGCCTACCAAAAGATGGTGTACCAGGAGTGGCACCCGGATCACTGCTTGTGGCACGGAAGCCTGTCTATGGCACCAAGGATGCTCCACGAGGATTTTGGAAGAGCCTCCACAACACCATGAAGGAGTTTGGACTACGTCCCATTCCACATGAGAATGCCGCCTATGTGATGAACAAGCCGGACGGCTCTGTGGATGGACTGGTGATCAGTCATGTGGACGACCTACTCTGGTGTGGAGGAGACCTCACCCAGCAGGCCATGGACAACGTCCAGAAGAAGCTGAAGTTTGGCCGTACCGCCGACACCACCTTCAAGTTCTGTGGCAGAATGATTTCACAGGATGACGAGGGCATCCATGTCACATGCCCGCGTGGTCTTGAAAGGACTACACCGATTGCCCTGTCAACAGCTAGGAAAGCCAACCGAGGAGGAGAAGCCACTCACAAGGAGCAATCTCAGATGAGGAGTGTTCTTGGCTCCTTGAACTGGATTGTGCGTGTCAACCGGCCTGATCTGGCCTACGACACCAGCCGACTACAAAGCTGTGTTCAGAAGCCCTGTGTCCAAGATTTGGTGGACTGCAACTCACTGCTCAGGAGGGCGATGCTCAGCAAGGATCAGCGGCTGACCTACGTGTGGCGCCCCTTCAAGTTTGAAGAGCTCAAGATCCTCTCCATCACCGACGCGAGCCATGCCAACGACCATGACCTCTCGTCGACTGGACAGCGCCTTGGCTTTCGCTCCCAATCTGGGAGGATTCTGGCCTTCTGTGGGCCAGACTTCATTGCCAAGAGTGGAGGCCCGATCCACATCTTGGAATGGAAGAGCTCCGTGATTCGACGGGTGTGTCGAAGCACACTTCAGGCTGAGAGCCTGAGTATGCTGGCTGGCTATGAGGACGGGGAACACCTGAGGATGATCCTGGATGGACTACATCATGGCCACGATCAAGGTGATCCCAACTGGAGGATGAGAGCCCAGGACGGGACAGATCTGATCAAGCTGACAGACTGTCGCAGTCTGTCCGACCACTTGACACAACAAGGGCTCGGAGAGGTTAACGACAAGAGACTCGCAATCGACCTTTGCGGGATGCGCCAGATGATCTGGCGTCGACGCCATGAGGAAGTGGGCGACCCGCTGTTCAGCGACCAGCCGCCGAAGGATGGCAGCACCCGAGTGCTGTGGATCAGCACGAAGACGATGCTGTCGGACGCCCTCACGAAGCACATGGACGCAAGCGACGTCCGAGCGGCCATGAATGGCCTTTCCTTGAAGATCGAGCTGCAAGGGTCCAAGAGCGATCGAGGTCAGAAGAAAGACGAATGTGAAAACGAAGATGAAACCAGGAACATGTCATGCACTGACCCGGATTGCTCATGGACCTGACCAGCTTGAAGAGACTGCGCCCGACTTTCGCTCTCGCGATGGCTCAAGAAAAGAGCGCTATGATGTTTGCTGCCAGTGCTGGATTCATTTCCACACTAACTCTAAAGAAATCTTCGAGCAGTTGCAGGTTTCCTCGTATCAAGACAGTGATGCACTTTGGGTTGTGTTTTGCCCACATCAGCATGGCTAAAGCTACCGCAACGGACTTGCCCGTGCCGGGTTCCGCATGAATCGCAGAGACTCCCGTGGAGATCGTATCGGATAGCACACTCGTCACCAAATGCTGAAACTCTGTGCCATTCACGGGGATGAGTGGCAATGAGATGTTGGGCACAATGATGTTTCGGGCTTCCTGTGACGTCTTGGCTCTATCCATCAGTTTCTTTGCAAGGAGTATGGCGTGCTGGTGGGCATCGTTGACATTTTCCAATCGTTCCAATCGTTTCACCTCTTCAATCGGGCGATAATGCTTGTTTGCATCCAAAACTTGCTTGCCGATATCCGTCAATGATACCCCTAGAGCACTGGCAATTGGGTCCAAATATGTTGCCCAAGTAGGAGGCTCTAGTGGCCTTGCAGTCTTGCTTGGACGCCTGTATCTGTCTTGCGTCGTTCGTGGTATCTCAATCAAAGCCAAGAAAAACTTGCCAACTAGAATGGACAAAACCAGTGCAAAGATCTTGAAGCGGCGTTTTGCCATGGGAACATTGCAGGTCTAGACAAGTATAATGTATGTGCATGACACCAAGGTTGATGCATATACATTTTTGTAACTATTTTTATGTCAAACATCATCTATATCTTGTAAAACACATATATACAACCAAATGATGTTTGTGCTGTTCGGTCGCACATCAGGAAAGGATTGCAAAACCCTGCTCTCAGAAGAAAAGCCACGAGCATGGCACAAATCAATCCACATCCAAGCTTCATGGAGACCTGCCACCAATCGGGAAAATCTACCATCCATTTTGCAGAAAATCAGCCACCCACTTTGGCACGAAATCCGTCGAATTGCGGAAATCTGTCACCAATTTTGGGGAAATCCGTCACCGATTTTGGGAAAATCAGCCACCGATTTTGGGGAAATCCGCCACAGACTTTGGGAAAGATCTGCCACAGACTTTAGGAAAATCTGCCACAGACTTTGGGAAAATCAGCCACCGCCCGGGTTGTGAAGCTCCGTTTTTGGGAAAAACAGGCTCCGTTTTTGGGAAAAGCAGGCTCCGTCTTTGGGACAAAGTGGCTCCGTTTTGGTGAAAAAGTGGCTCGGTTTGGGGAGAATTGGCTCGGTTTTTGGATTGGCTTGGGACAAAGCTCAAGTTTCATTGTTTTGAACGCTCAGCATGTTGGGGTTTGGGTTTTTGAGGTTTTAAGACTCGGTGTCTCTAGAATTAAGGCAACTCTATGGCAAATTGGAAGGGTGAAATGTTCAAACCTATGAACTTTGATGTCGAAACTGTTTTGGGGTTCGTGTTAGGGACTTGTATGAGGTGCTACAAGCACAAATTGATACTACATAGTATAAATAGATTTAAACAAATATTAAGATATATAACTAACTATATATAAACGATATGCCTTGTTACTTTGTAAGTAGTGGAGTTGAAATCCCGATGACGAATGAAACCTTTGACTCTATTTGGAACGGTTTTGGAAACAAAGAGCTGACTGACAGCGAAACTGTTTTTCATCGGAAGAAAGCTATGAAGCAATTTCATCAGTCCAAAAACCCCAAAAAACCCAATGGAGAAAGCAGGACAGCAGGACGACGGATATTACAACAGAAGACCGAAGGACGAAACGTATTTCCAAAGATATTACCAAGAGAAAACGAAACAACCGTGTGTATGCGATATATGCGGCTGTGCCATGAGCTGCGAGTCAAACTTGGCAAAACACAAGAAAACCAAACAGTGCCAGAGGTTCTTGGTTTGAGTTCACAATGTTTTTAATGATACAATAAAGTATCATAAAATTGTAATGTAAGTATTTTTCAATGACTAGATTGGAAAAAGAAAAGGTATTGGAAATAATATACTACGACGTGGAGGACGGCTTCGGTTCGGTGAGGGGCTTATACGAAAAGGCTAGGAAAGTCGATGTAGGCATAACTTTGGATATGGTCTCTACATGGATGAGGGCGCAACCCAACAAGCAAACAAGAACCTGCAAGAACTACAATTCTTACACTGCTCCGTTTCCCAAGTATGCATTTCAATTTGAGCGGTGTCAAAAACCATCCGGAACTTTTATTAAGATTATAAGAACCTTTCGCCAATCCCTTCGCAATGCTTTCGCGGCTGCATGCTTTGCTCTCGCCGACCCACTCACCCAACAACTTCTCTCGCTAACCCTTTCGCCGAGTTTCTGCTACTACTTGCATCTAAAATATCAGAAAGGGGAATCATTCCTAATCTGCAACCACTGCTTTCGCCACATCTTCGCGAACCTTTCACCAACCTTTCGCCTGGTTATCAAGACTAGCTTTGGCCCTTAGGGTTTCCAAATCCTAACAACCAGAAACAT